GTAGCTGCAACCTTGCGAGTGCAATATTGGAGAAGGGTGCTAAATCGTTCGAACGTGGCACAAGAAATGGAGCAACCCATGGGCATACACTCGTAATAAAATGAACCGTCGAACGAAAAACCGAGTAAATCATAATCATCGGGATGAACAGGGAGTAAACGAAAAGCTGATTTTATATCTGACTTGGCCAGAAGGGCTCTGGGGCCCAAACTAGAAACCAATTCAACCGCATCATCAAAAGTCGTATAAGACACCGCAGCCCTGGCTGGGTCAATATGATCATTAACTGAATCACCCAAAGGAGACGAAAGGTTATGAATTAAACGGAACTCACCAGGGGTTTGCTTCGGCACTAAACCTATTGGAGAACAACGAAAATTGGGACATGAGGGACTGGGGAACGGGCCAGCAATCCTACCCAAATGTAAATCACGGTCAAGTTCGTATTTCACTACCTCTTTATTTTGTCGAGCAAAATTACGGGCAGAAGTGCTAACCCGAGGACCCGTATACCCTATACGGAAACCAGACGTAAAACCCTCCAACAGCACCTGAGCGTCATGCGTGTCACCATATGATGCCAAAAAGGGGCGCAGTTTATTTATTCTTACCGGCGTTGGGAGGTGTGGTTGGAGTGAGTGTTCCCCGCACCGAACGGACGGTGTCGGCATATTTTAACAGCTGCCTCGCCTGAGTAGGGTGTCGCATCAAATAGATGGATGCAAAAATTAGAAAAGCCGAGGTCCACTGTTCAATTGATCCGAGGGGGTGGGTTGTGGGAACGAATTTGCCATGCTGGGGAATCGCGCGACCCAATAGTAAACACGCAGTCACTGGTACTATTGACACTGCTAGAGGGACGCAAAAGAAGCGCAAAGTCTACAAATTCCCCATTCCAAATTTTGTCCCGAAGGTGTTGAGAAACACCAGACCCAAGATCATCGCAAACACTTGTTAGGGGCGTGACATCGCCACCCCCTATGCCCGACGAAGTGGCAACAGACATAACCGAATGAACAATAGGGGGAGACGCAACCGAAATGGCCGAGCCATCAGGGGCAGATGCGATAGAAACTACTGGTCTAGGCGTTAGCTCTGACGGGATAGAAAAAGACTCACCCGATGAAACAGCAGTTGTCTGTGCGACGGGCACTGATGAATCACTCGGAACATCCGCCGGCGCGATGCAGTCCGAACGAGGCCTCCCCCTTGGTCTCGACCCCTCAGCGCCGGCAGTGCGCCGCTTTGTTCTTGCTGCCCGTGGCATTTTTTCCCAATAACTGGAAGGGGATGGACTAAACGTGATATCCTTTCCTAAAGCTGCAATTAATTGCAGAATGTAGAAGACGACTAACTTACGAAGGATACTTTGCAAATTTACAACAACACTGATTATTTATTCCACAATAAACCGAACGAACCGGCCTGGCAAACTGCTCAGACAAAAGTGACCAGCACACACATTGGTTCTGCCTATGAAGCTGTAATTAAACAGCTGGGTCGTAAATCCAGTGCCTGTGTGGTCAGCGGGGGAATTTACTCCAGCAACCCCGCCTAGCGGCAATAAACTATTTGAAGCCCCAATGGGCCTAAAATGAATTATGTGCGCTTGTGTATAAATGGCAAATGGAGGCAACAAGCTTGAGCGGCCCATTAAAATGTAAAGTGCTCACATTTCAACGTTATTTTCTTTCAGCTTCTGCAATTTTTTCTCTTTTGTACTTGAAAACCCTCTAAAATCTTTATAGCGAGATCTATTACCTTACTTAAAAAAGTTTGTTCGTTCAAAGCGCACTAGGTCGAAAAAAAACGTGTGAGATGTAAAACAAATTGTGCGATACGCTGGGTACCATCCACCATTCTCGGTTGACAAAGTACCGGTAAGATCTAATCGGCGAAAGATCTAACGTAAGAAGGATAAAAATGGTTCTTTTGACGAATGCGATGCACCAAGGGAGTATCCGCTATTTCCTATAACACCGCCGATCATGGAACGACATTTTAAAGTAGGCGCCTACGTGTACAAGTCGTGCACTGTATGAATGGTGCATACTGCATAGTACAAACTATTCAATCAGACAGTCGGAAAGGGGCCCAGTTAATTTCTTTTCACCTCGTGCGCTCGGGGAGAAAGCAAAGTCTGGGTTTTTATTTAGTGCAGTTGAAAATCCTAGATGATGGTGAGGAGGATATGGGGTGCCAGTTGGCGTACCCTAATAGAGGACTGTATGTAACAAAATGTAACTGGCTGTGTTCAGGAAAGGGGACGCCATTTGGCGAACCCTAATAGAGGACTGTATACAACAAATGTTGCTGGCTGTGGTGAGTAGCGTATGGGGCGCCAATTTGCTTAACAGAGTACTGTATTTTTCCAAATGTAACTGGCTGTGTTCAGGAGGGTATTGAGTGTCAATTGGCGTACGCGAACGGAAGACTGTATATAACAATATGTACATGTAACAACATATTTCAGTTCAGGAAAACTGGTGAAGTTGTTTCTTTTTGTTCAGTGTGTATGTTGAAAAGTGAGGGTTTAACCTAGGAATTATGTTTTCATTAAAATTGTGATTTTTCTGTAAAGAAGCTATTACTGGATCGGTCTGAGTTTTTTTAAGTGCGACCTTGACCAATAAAATGAACAATAGGGCCGAATTAAACATTTGAATAACCAATCAAATGATTCCGATTTGATTCGTTTTGATTTTGGCAAAGAAAAATATAAAAACATGATTTTAATCTACAAAAATAATTCCGATGTCGTTCCCTGTTATTTACACCCTTGGTCTACATGCATATCGTACCTTCAAGAAAGTATTAGTAAGCCATTACGCTTTACAGCGAAGCGAGGGAACGACACCAGATTTCAAGTTCAAGATATATATACAAGTGTATAAATATGTATATATTTATAATCATACGTAAATTTAAATGCCTTCTGTATACTTCAACAAAATGGACTCCATTTAGTGTGCTTTATTCCTATCAATGTTTAAGGACAACTGTCAGATGACTTATTTCGGCTTTAATCACTCCACACAATTAGATGATGAGACGACCCGGACTATTGACCGGACGAAATGGTTGTTTTTGCCATTGATAGAGGGAAAAAATTAAGTTCTTTTATAAATAATGAAGACATTGCGATATTCTGACGTCACCCCACGCAGCAAATGCAATATAGAATTGAAGTAGGATACGTGTACGTTATAGTGTTCATGGGCATCTTTATTGTTGCCAATGGTTTATATCAACCGTTTAAGACCAGCCACTTGATGGGCTCTCAACCAATAGGAAAGGGTAATAACGGGAACCGCCTTTTCATTATCATTGATGATAAACAGTAGCGTAGCGAAAAGGAGTGTACTGGTGGCAGAATTCAATGGAGTTAAGAATTGAGAGCAAACTGGGAGACGCCGAAAGAAGGAAAATAAGGAAGGCGAATGCATTATAAATGCGCAATCGGGTTATTGATAAACCGTGTTTGAATTTTAGGGAGAGAATGGGATTTCGCCCCTAAATATACGTCCAAATGTGTTTTGTATTCCCAAGGATGTTTTGTATCCGTAAAGAAACAACTCCAGAGGAAGACATTTTTGTACAGCTTCAAAATTGTTGGTGTCTTCGTTTCCTGAAAAGGGCATCATGACTTGGAGATATTTCCAAGGGTGGATTTGTGCCGGAGAGATGTCAGTTAATTTTGGATTTTTGCCCTGCCCGACTTGTATTGTAACACTGTAAACTCAGTGTTTGCCCCCGAAGGCTTGTCAAAAACCCGCAAGCGTACTTGTGGTTTGTGGTAACGCAGGAGGTTCCTAGTACCCCACCGGATACGCCATTGTAATTTTATCCCGAACAGGACGAAAATTCTATGCAACAACAGCGGCCTCGTGTCACGAACGGAGAACAAAATTCTGGTCTTATCTGCTTGTCGGAATCATAATACATGGCCATATGGGTATATGGATAGTTCTCTGCCTCCTATTTGTTATTAAAGAGGAACACACGGGTTACTTCGGCAGTTTTTTATACTACACAGTCGAGCCAACGGCGTACAAGGGCGCCTCACACAGTCGCCACACGCATACATCTACTCGTTGTGAACAGCCTGAGATAGCAAACGTTAATTTTTTTTTTTGCAGAGAGATGGAAGACCCAAGACGACCAACGATTAACTCCACTCACACATGGCTTGGGCCAGGAATTAACGCAGGACCATGCACTGCGGTGAGAGGCATGTGCTTGTGCAGTACCAGAAATCACCAGCGCCTCCCTTAACTGTGGTCCGAATTGATTGGTTTCCCATAATTTTATCTGGTATCAAAACAAAGGATTTAAAAGGCTCCCAAGGCACTTTAGCTCTTTAGCTCGCAACCTGTAGAGAGGAGACAATGAGAAGCAGTCACACTGTCACTGAGAAAAACTTGAGGAGTCAGGAAGGGACTGAAACTCCATCCATATATTGACCAAGCTGGGAATCAAATCTGGGCCCTCAGAGATGAAAGGCGAGATAAGAAGCAACGCCTCAACCTAGCTCCCCATTTATCATCATGTTCCTAAGCTACACGGTCTTTGGGATCAGTGATTTCTGTTAACTGTGCGTAAAATATAAAAACTGAGCTAAGTTACCGCTGCCAAATTCCACTCGTATATATATTTTACTACAGATTTAACTGTGTTTGAGTTGAAACACTTGAAGTGGAGATGCGAATAGATCGTTTTCATGGAACATTGTATAAAATTGCTACAACGAACCTCTTTAGAAAGCATGTTCAATATCAAATCTTGTCGGAAGCAGGCACTGTTGCCAACGACTGTAACTATGTCCCATGATAACGAATGTACTAACGGCCTGAATAATAGCGGATTTGGATACGGCTTTGCATCGAAGGTGGGGCGAAGAGTGCAAACAATCTATTCAAAATGTGCTCCAAATCTTTTATCATAGTCATGCAGACTCTGCAGACATTCACACAAAGGAATAAAGGAGACTTGACAGTAAATGCAGGGATCACTCCATTTTCTATTTCATTGGGAAGAGGTTTTAAGGTTTACATGACAATTTGAATTAAAACATCGCAATACAAGGTTATCTGTAATGGTTTAGAGGTTTGTCATTATTTCCTAAATTTGGTCACTGATGACCCAAAATTGTTTTTCACGTTAAACTTGACTAATGTGTTTTAAAGTGTTTAATAATGCTACTTTGAAGCGTTTCAAATCTGGAATTAAGTCTACATGAATATCAGCTTTAGTAAGAAGCGTTTATGGACGAGGTACAATGATTTATCTTGTATATTTCTGATGTGCAATAAAACACCATTACAATTGGCCAAGTTTGCCGGTTTCATTGGTAGAATTCACGTAAGTTGTACGAGGAGTTAATAACGTTTGTTATGAACGATTCAGTGTTTCAGTCACAATTTTTAATTTTAGTTTTCCATTTCAAGTTTGTCATAGGAAGAAATTTTTTCCCACGTTCATCTCGATCCGTTGTTTTTTTCTGCATGGCAAGCCTCTCCAATCTTGTCACGTGATTCTGACGTCAGGCACGAGTGGTCTGTAGATACCTAAGGCTGGAAATTAAAGTAGGAAAAAATTCGAACTGTCAAAAGAAGATATTAACGCCATTTAGCAAATTTTCAGTAAGGTAATAAAGATTATGTAATGGTTTATAGGCCGAAGCTTATTATATCAAGGGAAGCTCGAGAAGCTTGGATGTGATCTTTTCTTGTTCTCTTGTGATTGTTTTGTTCCGGTCGTTTTAATTTTCTTAGTCACTCTTCTTTAAACAATATTTTGAATATGGATAGACTTATTTGTTGGGAGTATGTTATACTAACGATATCAAATGGCTCTTCTTGACAGTTGTTTGGCTATGCACGGAGTATTTATTTTTATGATGAAAACGAATAAACCAGGTAAGCAATTCATCTCTTTTTTGGCGAGCAACACATAATATGGCTCCCTCTGGTGGAGCGTAACTCGGTCTTACCTGGACATACAGCAGTCGGTTGGGAGACCCTTTGGTGTCGGAAATTTTGCCAGTGCTGGCGTTATTCACGATGGCATTATGCACAGCACTCGGGGATGAACCTGGCCTTGTTCCCAGATAAACAGCAGCGGCACCTGCAGAGGAATAGAGAAATGTGTGCATGTGCAATATGTTGCATTTGAGTTCTTGACAAAATTCACAGGATAAAGAACAGCGCACTAATGGTTTACAGACAGTTAATTGGTGCTCACAGAAGACAACCAAGTATATTTGTCTGAACGGCTGGATTGCTTGGTTTTTCAATGGCGCTTTTACCTTGCGTTTTGATTTGTATCCGTGTTTCAAAATGTTAAAACCGGAAAAGGATATTTTCTGCTACTGAAATTTTAACAAAGTTATCCATAATCCAAATGGGCCTAGTTCTTAACGAAAACAATGTGACAAATGGGTATCGCGATGGATCGTTTGACTAGTGATCCGACTGCACAAACAGTATTGATGAAATGCAAACTCACCTGACACGTGAGGGCATGCCATTGAAGTGCCTGACAGAGTTCTACTTCCGGAGTTAGACGAGTGGCTAGCACTCTTGACGTCAACACCAGGTGCAAAGAGATCGACGCAAGAGCCGTAGTTTGAGAAATACGCACGTTTGTCGTTTTTGTCACTGGCTGCAACGGTGATTACCTATGAAGCAAATAGCATTGGTCACGCTCATGCAGTTATTTGTCGTCATCACACAAATAATTAATTACCTTAAAAGTAGATGTAAGTGGACATATATCATCTCTGTGTCTGGTCTTGTTATGTCAGTAAAAGAAAATAGCAGAAAGAAAAAATAGCCGCTGAAGCGTTTTATCAATATTGATATTGATTGGTAAGACTATTTCGAAATATCGAACGGAGTATCGACATATGGTCTCAGTATATATATATATATATATATATATTACTTTTGGATCACAAGGCCCCAAAACTCACCCCTTTCACTGCTGCAGGTGAAGAGTTGCAAGCGTCGATGTTTGAATTACCCGCAGCAACAGAAACCGTGTACCCCTTGTTGAGCATGTTCTGGGCAAGAGAGTTCATGTAGGAACTATACCCTCCTCCCAAGGACATCGAAACCACGCCCTTGCCATTACCAGAACCATACTTTTTGACGATAGCATCCAAACCTTAGGAGGAAAAAAATTAATGCAATTGTCAGTCAGGAAGTAGACAAGACCAGTATTCGAGGAAAGCATCGTGGCTTTCCTATCCTTAGACACGGGCACGGGCAATACTTCTTGTTATCGGGTGTAAAAAAGACACGTTTACTCCTTTGAAAACTTTGCGTGTAGGCCCTCCAGAGAAAGGGACCTTCTGTTCAGAAGATTAAGTCAGTTTTAACCGTCCTGTTTTCTCATTCCCGTGGGGGGAAGGGTTATAAACAGCGCCTTGCAGTGTCAATAGGTTTGTCAAACATTTTTAGAATGGTTACTTACACACCCTGACAAAACAAAATCTTCGCTCAAACCTGCTTGCCCCTGAAGCGTTTCTTTAAGATCGCCTTATTCTATGGCCAGGTGTATACCTAATTGGATCAAAATGTTGTGCACAAAGATTGTGCTGTTTCAGTTACCAGACAAGCTGAGAGAGAAAACTGCATACCTGAATATTATTTGTGAGATGATCAAAGCACTGGGTTTTTGAATAAAATGATTGCCAAACATACCTGCTGAAATGAGGGAATTCGAGCATTGTCCTTGACTGTTGCACACTTTGGAGCTGTAGAGTTTAGCTTTACGTGCGATACCGTAGGTGTTTCCTCCAGCAGTACCAGCGCAGTGAGTTCCGTGTCCTTGATCGTCAGCACCTCCGTACAGAAGGGATGCTCGTCCACCAAACGCTTGGTGATTGGTATTGATGCCAGTATCCACAATAAACAACCTCACGTTTGCACCCTGAGCTGCACACACACAAAAGGACATTTTTTCTCGAATATGTTGGTGAAGACTCACTGTAGTTTGATATCAACTATTAGATAATGCTCACCTGAAACATAATATTTGGTGTACAGATGCGTTGAAAAAGGTGCGGCATCATCTTTATGAATTATTCAGCATTTTTTTAATAATACGCTTAAAGTGAAAAGGACCTTTTACTTGTCCCGATTTTTTTTCCACCGCCTGAACACCAAAGAGGATACAAAAATTAGAGGAATGATGTCACATTCGGTCAGTTGGTAAAAAGCTACTTTTTAGCTACTAAAAAGCTACTAAATTTAGAGGCAAGGAGTAAAATATTCAAGTTGTAATCGTCTAATTTTGCCGTATTCCAGTTGTATCAGTCTTGAGCAGAAACACACACTCATTGGTTGAAAAGATCCATGCTGCCGGGGAGTGTTTGTTTGTTCGTAGTGACGTGCACGCAACAAATGCATTTCATAATCGTTTCGTGAATCAGCGAACTCAGTTTGCACCAACATCTGTTCCTGAGAAAATTGCTACCTCCGTTTGTCCCGCTAAGGACCCACTGGAAACTCATTATTGCACTTTACGTGTCTTTGAGATGAGAGCGATGGCCAAAACGACTTACCGCTGTCCTTGTACCTGTACCTATTGTCCCTTCCACTACGACTGTCGATACGATCCAGACCCCATGGTGGGTTATTTTGTGTGCCGAAAATGGTTGCAATGGTGTCCTCATGAACGTATTCAACGCCCTCAATAGCCCGCACCTGAACAATAAAAGAACGGCTGTTTATGTTTGAAATAAAAAATAACGAATGATCTCACGGTGATAATACCAAGAACAAGGACAATTTTAAGCTACATTAAAAATACAATGAAAACGAGAGTTGTTATTTCTGTATGTAAAAACATAGTTCTTTATGACTTTTCTGCATTTCAACTTTGAGAAAAAAACCAGGTACCTGTGATGCATGTTTATCGTCACCGAAACCACAGACTGACACTTATTCGCACGTGGGTGTCAGTTCGTCAAAACCAATTTATCAGCAACTTCAGTTTAACGAATAACACAAAGTAGTGCCTCGGACACTGACACCAAATAGATTTTGTTTTTTGTTTGTTTTGTTTTCTTAAGCTGATGCTGTTGCGGCAATACACTGCGGAGAAAAAATGCTTTGAAAGGTTTGATATGAATTAAATCCATCCAGAGTGTGCGTGGAAATGCCGTACTCTACCGGAATGTCAGTTTGTGAAAAGGAATATAAGTCAGTTCCCTAAAATGCGCGCAAATGAACTCCCCATCACAACAGACTGCCAGTTCGTGATGTCGGTGACAATTTGTCATAAAACACGTTGCGTGAAAAATTTGCTAAAGATTATGCGATTTGCTGAAAAACATAATAGTTTACAAAACTTCTTCATGATTCTGTGAATGTTGTTTTGTTCTTCGTTTGCATTTTTTACCCTATCGCGTGATAGAACCCCACATCGAACCTGGTATTATTTACCTCGGAAAGGATGTGCTGTGGAACCTTGAGGGTCAGAACCGGCATGAGGTTTTCGAGCTTTTCGATTTGGGGAGTAGGTGTACGGAACTTGTAGAAGATTTCTTCGATCTCTTGTTGCACCCGCTCCAGTTGGTCAAAATCCTGAAATATGTGGATGTTACATTCATTTAAATTAAAATTATTAGAACATAATAGGCTGGGTTAGGGTGCTTCTGCTCAGATTAATTCAACGAAAGTGTGAAGTTCGTAAACAATTTACTTTCGATTTGTGTCACCCAAATCAAACTGATTCTTTTTACACCAATTAACTCACCTCTACTTTGATGATCCAGCTGTCTGGTACGGCGCGCTCGTTGGTCGTACGGAGAGGAGCCAGGCTAGCATGAGCCAGAGCAACACACAGACACAGCAGAAGAAGCTTCATGGTCGGTTGGAGGATTGGGCTGCACACTTTCGAGAGTCTTCAGCAGTGCGATTTTGAAGTGATTCCTCAACTGATCTTCTGGGGTATTTATGATTTTTCTACTCTTCCATTTACCACACGGAACGGATTAAAATAACCCGTTATCAGGCAAAAATCTTTTATCAAGAGAAAAATAGCTCAAAACAAGTACTTGACACACTTTTTGAGCATGCATATCCAAGGAGAAGTTATTTTTTTCTCTACACAACATGTGTTGACAGCCCTTAATTTCTCACGTTAACGTTGTCTTATAAACCCTCTAGTTTGGTATAAAATGGGTTCATAGAAGTCAATGGCTTGTATATGGTAAGCACGAGTGCAAATAAAAGCGCGAATATGTAATCTAAATAGATTTGCAAATTAAAAAAGAAGAGGGACTGGGGAGTTTTGGGCTCTTAGCCCAAGGAAAGGAGGGTTGGGAGTCTACCTGTTTTAACTCGGCTGAAATGAAAGATTCGAAAAACAATCAAAGAATTCCACATCTATTTTTACCCATCCTGCCGAATAACGAAACAGCTAAGAGGGATGAAAAAATTAATGGCCTGTAGAAAATGTGGAATGTTGAATCTGTTTTGCCATCGTCACACAAGGTATCGCTAGACTTTTCTGTACTTGAGGTATCTACTAATGCAAAAGCTATTCCGGAACTAATGGGGGGGGCACGTGCCCCCTCCAAGCTGATGCCCGTGGCCCTGGTACCCCATTTAAAATCTGTGAATAAACTCCGTTGTAATGGTGTTATGATGTCTTTTGAAAAACATTGTGTGCACCCCCGGGTGCCCTCGGAAATTTAGCCGTACTTCATATTAGCGACGTTCCCTTGAAGTTTCATGGATTCCCCGAATTATATTTATAAAGAATACCGGTCCCAAGATGTGATGAGATCAAGCAAAATGCGTTTGACATTACTGTGAATTTGTTACCCAGTGCTCAGTGTGGGACATTTCATGACAGTCCACTTTTTGCGTTTTGACCTCCAAATCGGGGACAAGTACCGGTACCCAATAAAGAAAAAAGTAGTCCATCAGTGTGCCTGCATACTTGGCCTCTCCAAAGTGACGAAGATTAAGCTGCACCGTTCTAGTCAGCGATGCCAAGCGGTTCAGTTCAGCACAATCTGGAGTTGACGAGATAAAGGCTGTTATATGGTGATTTCCCACAGCTTGAAGAGATACTGTATAATGGTTGTGGTGAAAAAAAAACACGACAAAATTATATAATGGCAAAAAGTGGACCGAACCTGGGGCTTGTGTAGGGGTTTTCGTGCAGTTTTGTCCTGTAATCAACGAGAAAAATAACACAAGTGATTTATTTCAAAAGAAACAGGTGAGTTCGAGGATAACAAAATAATGAAAAGATAGCAGACAACCTGAGTTCCGAACCAAAGCGGTGAACACTTATCAGTCCTGGGCACGAAAGGGAACCCGATGAGCATTGTACGTGTTGTGAGGGGTAGTTTGTATGCGTTAGGCTTCGGATTTTACACTGAAAAAACTTATCATGACGTTTTTAACTTGCTTTCTCATCAGTGGAATTACTACGAGGGATGTGATCCTCACGGAGGTGTGCCCCATTGAAAGTCCACACCCTCCAAGTAGTTTCTAATTAATTTTGGAAATTTGCACAGCATATGTATACAAGCCGTAGTTCCTCGGTTTTCGGTGAACCTGAAAGGGGGGCGGGGGAAAAGGTGTAGAGTAAGGGCCAACCTACTCGAGGCCTTTGCACCAACATGTGTGGCATCTCCGATCAGTGTTTTACCTTTCCCTGTATGGTGACAAGGTAGCTAAGACTCTGACGTACCCTCTCCAGAAAATGGCTGCATCTAAATGCCCCATGTTAAATGTAAGCCCTAGTTGCACCACTGGCCCCGAAAAACGTGCTCTCTGCATGTCCAATAAGACTTTACTCTGGTATTGCCAACGAAGTATAAACGGGCCACTACTCTGTATGGTTCCTAAGGAAGTATAGGATTGGAATTTAACCTCCCCAGTATTGACCTCGACACCACTTTCAATACTTTCCTTTTCATGCTCTTACTTTCAAATCGACTTTAAGTGGTGAAATAAATTACATTTTACTGTTTACACGAAACATTTACAGCCAAATTCGATCCAGATAAATGAACGACGTCAGGTTGCACCACTTCCAATTGTGGAGAGGTTTTTTTTAGCTTTAATTCCCGTTTGCTTTCGTGTTGAATGGGCTCATTGAAACTGTTGGTTCAACTGGTGTTAAAAAAATTCTCAGGATCCACATAGGGTAACAGCAGCTTGGCGTTGTCCTGCATGGATATTTATGCGTTAAATACACACCATATTTTTTGGAGTATGTAACAACCTGTATGTGATATGGTATTTGAGGGAGAGATCCCCTCTAAAAAGCCTAACCAGACCAGCAAATGGAACCTGACTAGGAGATCAGCCTCAGTACCGTAGTGTGCTAAGATAGATTTCTAGGCATGCACCCTCAGTGCACACAGGAGTGAATCAAGACATGGGGGGGGGCTAAAATCGATTTTTCTTTTCATGTGATATAATTATAATCTTTCAAAGAGTGGGGACGGCATTTTGGGGCTTTTTAAAACGCTTTTGGAAGTAGAAGAAACAAAATAGATTTCTCTCGTCGTTTAAAATAAAAAAAATGGCTACTTTTTGGGGCGAGGGGGCATTGCACACATTTTTTCAGGGGGCATGGATGTGCATCTTCACGTCCAAACCTGATGGAGGGGGAAACAACCACTGGCTTGCCTGACAACCTTTGAACAATTCAATCATTTTGACTGGTGGATGTAATGTACCATTATTTTTTTATAAGATAGCAGAGTGATGGCGTGCCAGCCCAAATTTTAAAACTCAAGAAAGGTCTAATTGGTTTAGTATACAGTCTGAGTTTTGAACGTGGGTACTGTGCTTCTGCGCCCCCTCCCCCCACTGGGTCAAGGCCCGACCCTAAGTGCAAATTCCGAACCCAGTTGGCCAAACCTTGCCAGTAATCAACAAATATCAACCCTAGTTTGCATTCACAAGCAGTTATTTCCTGCAGTTGAAAAAAATTGGAAATTCACATACGTTATGCAAAAATACACTGTTTACACTACAGGCCTTCTCAACGTTATAGGCCCATAACTGGAATGACAGACAACCTTTTCTAATTTTCCTCCCGAAACTGATTTCAGAACCTCTTTTCCATCTGTTGTACACGTTTTCGGGAGAAATTTTAAAAATTGGGGGTTTACTAAAGGATGGAGGCTAGTAGATAGGTCGAAAACTGCTTGCGCCGGCCAAATCACAATTTGTATTCACTCAAACTCTTTAAAAAATAAAGCATTTTGTGGCCCATGAACTTGAAGATTTGTAGGAAAGCACAGGTTTAGGCGAGCAAAACGAATTCCAGCTTGTGTCTGAGTGAGAGTTGGAAGAAACTGGTGCCTGAAAACGGTCTATTTTCGAGAAGTGTAGACACCGATTTTTCAAAATGGTGAGGGGCTTCAAGACAGCTTTTTAGGGGTGACCGTAAGTGGAAAAATATTTTCAAATGTCATCGGTTAACAAATGGAAATTCGAAAAGAAAATGAAACATTACAAATAAGTTTTAATTTGATGTGCGTCTCGAACGTGTCTCTCACAGTATGAACTTTGCAACCCTGCAAATCTAGGATAGTAACCAAAAGACCAGGCAGGCTTCAAACATTTTTCCTCAGCTCGGGATGGGCAATGAATAAAATATTTAGCCGAATCCTCATTTATGCCCAAAAGGGTTACGAGATAGAAATGTGTAAAACAACACTTCACCCTTTTAAATTAACACTTATTATAAGACATGTTAGATAAAATTTTTCACAGTTTAAAATTCGATTCATAACTTTAAAAATGTTTTGAAACCGTTACAACCTGTAAACAGCTTGAAGTGATAAACACAAAAATATACTTATCAGGATAAAGTCGTTAAACTAGGTATTACTCTAATTATTTGTATTCATAAAAAAGTGTTTTTACACGATAAATGGAAAGATGAATGAAATCTAAGTGATTTTTCAAAAATACCGCAGTTTGAAAGTGTGTTCTGGCCAATAAGGAATCTTGACAAGCATGACATCACAAGTTCACTTGTATAGTTGAGTGTTTCTCAGTTCACCTTTAATTCCTGGGGTGTGTGTGTGCGTTATACCTTGTCCGCGTATTGAAAAAAAAATAATGGAGCATTGCCGTATCCTCTGTTGGAAAGTGCAAAAACATAAATCATGTACTAGCTTAAAATCTTTGGTCAGGGAAACGTTCAGGCCAACTACACAAAGCAGCAGGACCCCTGGTCGTGTCACAATGTTGGCTGAACCAAAGACAAGGAAAAAACAGCTTCAAATAAGTAAGCCTGAATCATTAAAAGGGAATAACTGAATGAAAGTTTTTCGCGTCAAAATCTGACGCGGGAAATTTTTCGTTCAAAACACCTGTTGCGCAGACCAGAATAGATGATCCACTACTACATCGATAACCGTACTTAAGGGGGAAGTGCCCAACGAAACTTGTTTTCAGGAATTTTTTTCTCACTTAAAGATACCTCTATGATAACAGTCTGTTTAATTGGTTCCACGTAGTTACAAGAGGATTAGAAAACGTACATATAGGCTCGACAATCAGTTGACTCACTTAAAAGTCATACGCGTGATGACAAGTGGGTTAGATCGTTAAAGTTTTTAATCTGCCTATTGAAAATGTGCAGCCCAAACGTCCGACCATGAAGCTTCTTTTCCTGTGTCCGTGTCTAACTCCGGGTCACGCTAGCCTGGCTCCTCTCCACAAGACTAACAAGCGCGCCATACCCAACTGCAGGATCACTAAAGTCGAGGTAAAATTAGCAAGTAGTAAGAAAGCATCAATTTAACCCACAGATAGCTATATTCGTTTTGAGATACGCTTCTACAATCAAATACGGAGCATTACTCTCAATTGATTTTTTACTTTATCCTTTATTCTTTAACTATCCAAGACCTTCACTTGTCCCATCTGAAACAAAGGAAAATAGTTGACATTGATCTGAGCAGCTTCCAATTGATGTGTAGTTTAGGATTCTGACCAGCTGTACAAGGACATTGAGGACATTACCATGTACAACGGATACAATCATGTCTAACCAAGTAAGTCGGTCGTGTAGTCCACGAGTTACCTAGATAAAACTGGCTGCGAGTCGTCTGTTCTGTCCACAAAAAGTAGTGATACAAAATCCATTGTCTTTTTGCCATTCAAAATATGGTGTTGTTATGACTTTTTAGTCAGACACAACGTGTTGCTTGGACACAGGTTATGAAGTCCAAGCCTGATAGCGAATTACTCAGAGATAATTATAAACGGATCAAGTGGAACGTGCAGTAATCTTAGTTGAAATAATATATATATTATTTTTCAAATGATCCTATTCTTTCAACTATATCTTAGGAAATCAAAAAGATTTGATATTTGTCTTTTTTGGAGCGGGCAGATGGTGAGTTGGGTAATTTAATTGCTTTTGATTCTTCCATTAAAAAAATGGAAGAAACAAAATCTGGTTTTTACGTGGGGCTCATGGGGAGGTTAGGGGAGTATACTGAAAAAGTCATACAGTTACACATGGCGCGAATATATTCCTTGATCCGAAATGTGCATATTTTGCGACTCGTTATGACGCGTCATCAGAGCTTCAAGGACTTCATATGCGTGTGAATGAAACAAAAATGAAATAGTACCAGTGACGTACCCTCGAGAACAAGTTAATAACCTTGAGGCAAACAGTGACAAATAAACACCGAGCCCGTGAACCAGCAGGAGACCTATAAGAACGATTGGGCAATTTTATATTAGTGCGCGACACTATGCACGGCGTGTACCGGTATCTATTGACGGCTTGGGAACGGAAGACAATTTCCAGTAAAAAAATATTGACTGCTTCGAGTGTTATAGTAAAACTAAATAGTATGCTCCATGGATCATCGACGAAGAATGTAGTTTTACCATACCAATATGAGCTGCAGAGGTGGTAATAAGTCAGTTTTGCAAGTCCAAGTCAATTAAAGAGCACCTCTAAGGAAAGCTGTTTTCTCTGATTTCATCTGTTCAAATATATATTGAAGCATCCCAATCGAACGCAGTGTCATTTGTCTTCAGAGCTGAAATGGGTTTTTTTCTGTTCATACCAAGATGCGAATTCTGAATGTAGATTGCGTCATTCGGAGAAAATAGAGAAAACGAAGGTAAGCAGGAGGTCGTGGGTTCGAGTCCCACCCGAGTACGCTTGTGTGTGTGTGTGTTTTTCACAAGCCTTTCGGAGGCAAACACTGAGTGTACAGTGTTTTAACCACTTCTGTGATATCACTCTCTTTGTTCAAAGTCTAAATTATTTACACGAATCTGCAACAAACTGTAGATTTTTAACGAACGTACACTTACTGTAGATTCATAACAACGTCATTTCGGCCAATGTGGTTGTGACCGGAGGGTTGGGAAAGAACATTATAGTAATTTAGTGCCCTGACACTGATTCTCCTATGCCTGGCGAGGGGACAGTGGGCAAATTTAAGGGATACCAGGAGCGCCCACACTCCGGCCTTATTGCGTATACATGTTTGCCTTTCTCCATAGAAAATGGCGTATAGTTTGTTACCACTCGTGTTTTCTAGGTCATAGCTTTGTAAAGCAAAATGTTCAACAGGGATTTGAATTTTTTCTTCAACTTTCAATAAGGATTGAATTTGATGTATTTTGGCTGTTTTTCTATGCTACGTTTTGCCCAGTCTTCTTTTTATAATGTTGGATTACAGCGTAATTGAACTGACTCAAACTGGGGTACATCTTAGTTGTTCCAAGTCACACCGGTCCTGATGTTACAGATCTCTCAGAGTCGCTGCTTCCCAAGTGTACGGTCCAGCACATATATTTCAGTTCATTTACAAAACGTTCTTGTAAAATCTTGCTTGAAGAGTTAGCCTGTACATTTTCTTGTGTTGTAATGTTTGTAGCGCCATAAGCAATTTTAGGTGAATATGTGTGCTTTATAGAAATTCTTTAATGTTATTATTTAACTCAAACATGTGCATCATAATTTGAATCCAAAGTTGCTCATTCTCCAAATGAAATGGCAATCTTTAATGGAAAGCATTTCCTAATGATTCACACACAAGAACATATAAGGATCAGTGAACCTCACTTTGAGTGGTTTGTGAAGTGGTTCGAAAAGTGCTACCCACACTTTCATGAAGTTGATATAGCATTCCTCAATTTCATTGAGTCCTGTGGTGGTTTCAGTCTGGAAGGTTTCGCTGCAATGACACACGTATGATGATGAATCCAAGGTGCAAGAGGAAGAGAAGAAAGTAAGTGTCCAGCACTAACGGTGTTGACTGCACAAATACTTTTAGCCTTCGTCAAGGCGTTCGTCATTTGTTGCAACGCGGCGAACCGCCGCGCGCACCTGCCGCTCAAACCCAGGTGAAGAGCGACCTCACACAGTCTAAGAAATGTACATATCAGCTGAACCAGGACGAACGCCTTGGCTGAGTTCGGGCGGCTTCTTGTTGTGTGTTCACGAACAGCTGGATTTGTTGTTCGTAGGTCGGCCGCTCGAACGCCAGGAACATACAACCGGTTCTTAATAATGGTAGTTAGTGGCAAGCAACATGATGGCGGCCATGTACGTTATTCGAAAGTTAATGTTTGGATGGGCCGAATTCTTTTCTATTTGAACAGGAACACTTTTGCTGTTTATTGAAAATAATAGTATTAATTTGGCAAAACTTCTCATTGCCTGTGGCTTTAGAAGCCATCTCTTTACTTTTTGCAGTCAAAAAAATCAATTACAATCAGTAAGGCAAAGCCAAGCAAAGGAGAACTCGATCTCCAATGACTCTGATTAGCTGGCAAAATAAATATTGTTGACTTCTCATGTACATGTACGTGTTAGCCACGTGTGCATTCAGTTAACCATTCACCTTGCGACCTACTTGAATTATGCAGTTACTATGTAGCAATGAACCAATCCAAAAGCGTAGTTAAAAGATCGGCTCTTGTATTAGCATAATGAGCACCCGTGCAATACAGATTCTGCGGAAGGTTGCATCAAGGCGTTCGTCCTAGTTCAGCTGATTTGCATATTTCTTAAACCGCATGAGGTCGCTCTTCGCCTTGATTTCGAGCTGCGGTGCGCGCTGGCGCGGCGTGCGCTGCACTGGGACGAATAACGAAGGCCCTTACCAAGGCTTTGTATCACCAGGCCTTTGCTCTATGGTTTCACGCAACCCAAACCCGTGGAACAAAGGTGTGCACTCAGACGAAGGGTTAAAAGCAAGAGCGTCATTGACTCGGGACTCCATGTACGTGTAACAATGGGAAATAGTTTAAGTCAGACTCGGAACTGTAGATTCATGCAAGAATCTACAGTTTGTTGTCCATTGCCCTTGACATAAATACACGTCAGGAAGGACAAATATCCAAAATTAGTTAACATCTCTCCGGTGCAAATCCATCCTTGGAAAAAGGTCAAGCCACGTGCGTGACGGTCAAGTGACGGTACAAAATAGTGAAACTAGCGAGTTTGTATGAGCGATATATCACGGAAGATATATATGTAGAGCAATTATAACATGTTCCCTCATCGGCCAAGAGCTAACCATGGCATTTGCCATCTCATTGTTGTCTTCGGCTACGGCTGCTTATCATGGTGCCTTATTGAATGCCAACAGTTGAAGGCGAAGCCAAAATATCGCATTTGTATATGGCCTGGCATCGAAAAGTTTAGGTCACGGGCGCCGAATACAATGAGTTTGCAAAAAAAAATGTTTAAGGAAGGAATTACTTATTTATTTCAGTAGAACAAAATAACACTAAACATGCACAATCAAACAACCACTTAAAGAAATAAACAAAGTCGTAATTAAATGCAAGGGTTATTTTATTTGATTCACCAAAGGAATGTGATTTTTACAACTTTTCTTACAGATTAAGCATCATAACATAGGATTCGGAAACTTGTCATCTTTCTTTGTGTCTTTTTGAAATTATTACCGATGCTCAAAGAATCCTTCAAGAGTGCACACGGTTATTTTAGGTGCAAAGGTGCTTTGCAATGTCATTGTTAATGCATTACATTGCAGGTTCAACCGGGCAGAATTTCAGGCATGCACATTACAGGTGCACTTCTGTTATGCACAGGGCTGGCACATATAGCCAAACAACCAACTTCATTGATACTATGTGCAGAAGTTGTGCAAGGAGGTATTACCATTTTGTTACGGTGGGCGCGGATTCGGTGTATAAATTTATTTGACAGAGTAGAATTAGTATCAATTGGCCGTCTTGATTTTTTCTGCATGGCAAGCTTCTCAAATCTTGCCACTTGATTCTGATATCTGGCATCCATGACCCGTAGATACTTAGGGCTGCAAATTAAAAAAAGAAAATATTACATGTGTTAAGATGAAGGTAAAATCGAGCGTTCTAGTTAGATGTTTGTTGCACAGTGGCGTATCCAGCAGGGGGGGGGGTGCATGGGGGAAACTTGTCCCTGCAACGGATTTTTTTTACAAGGAGTACTTCATAGGTGAGTAGGAAAGAAAGTAATCGTTACATTCATTTATTAAATTTTATCACCAAAACGCTAAGAAAAGAACTCCAGCAAGTGAACGCGAAGGTGTTTTTCTTTTTCTCTCCCAACATCATATTGAATGAGCCCGAAGCCCGATTCGCCTTTGAATTCCCCCCTCCCATCAAAAGCTGGATACGTCGTTGTTGTCGTATGGGAAGGACGATATTTTATTAAATAGTCTTTTCTTCCACACAGGATTTGAATCTTGTCAATTCAAATTAGTTTTCGTCTTCGTATTTTGTTTAGGGCACTGGACGAGAGAGGGCATTCATAATCTTCTTGAGAATATGAAGCGCCTCCCTTGCGGATTTTCGAAACGCATATAAAGTTATGTTTAGCACTCGGGACTTTTTGACAAAATTTCTTAAGGCTCTTAAGGCTCAGTTATTTGAAGCTGATTGGAAATGGCTTGTTGTACCCTTTCGAATGTTTAATGGTTCTTCTCTTAAAAATTTGGAATGATTTTTATATGTTGAGAAAATGATCATTTATCAAATTCGAATGGTTCGTTTGACATTCCTGTGGGGTGGAGCATTCATTTTGTACAAGAAGTGGGCAAGCTTGCTGTTAAATTGGACAATTTTTGAGCAACGTGGTCGTGTATCCAGTATTGATTTGGTAAAAATAAGTTAACCTTTACCTCGACATAGAGCAACTTGTTGGGGGATCCTTGGGTGTCAGACACAACATTAGGAGTCGCATTATTCACGATGCCATCATGCACAGTGCTTGGGGATGAACCTGGGTTTAATCCCAGAAAAACAGCAGCGGCACCTGCAGATGAATTTCAGAAATAAACTTTATATGCCGATGCCTAAAGTATTGCTTTGGAAATGATAACGACAAGAAATGTAGACAGTTGTACGATGTCTACGAAAAACATCTGGATTTGAATAGCTACTATGGTTTTCGGTTTTGCATTTTGATAGTGTTTTGTGTCATGACATGTGTTGTTTAATGACAGCATTTCGAAATCAGAAGATAGGACTTTCTTCTGAGTCTACAATCTGAAGACTTAAAGGAGGGACCAACGATGCGATTAAATGACTGAACAAATAATTGTCCGGAAACGTGTCAAGCGCCTTTCCACATGCACGTTTTTTTGTGCGCTTCGTACACAATGCGTTCATGCGTTTCACTTTCACGGACACAAAAATCGCCTTCATTAAACACATACGTGCGTTGCGTTTGGCCTTCAAAATCGCTCCTGGAGCGATTTTGAAGGATACACAACGCTTGGCGGAAGTGTTGAAGCACATAGCATGCAAGCGAACCTGACACATGGGGGCATGCCATTGAAGTGCCTGAAAATGTTGCAGTGCCAGTGTTAGATGAGTAGCTTGCACTAACGACGTCCACACCGGGTGCAAAGAGGTCGACGCAAGAGCCGTAGTTAGAGAAATACGCACGTACATCGTCTGAGTCACTGGCTGCAACGGTGATTGCCTGTCGAGCAAACAGAACTGGTCAGTAATGTGTCGTCATTTAATGAATAATTAATTACCTTCAAAGTAGCTGTAACTCTGAAAAGGTGGACATATCCATGTGGTCTGGTTGTGTTTTATCAATATTAGCAACTAGTTAAATGAATTCAGTCGCCTAAGCGTTTTTACCACTGTTAGGCTACGTCCAAATCTCTTGTCTAGAGCTAGGTCTAGGTCTTCACTCCACTGAAAATGCGTGGAGATGCGTAGACAATAGACCTAGCCGTAGCTCTGGAAGCCCGTTTCGGACACGGGCTTTGTCATCCCGTACATCATGTCATCATGTTTTTTCCTCTGAAATTATATAACATTACATACACCATAATCTTTATCACCTTATTGCGCTCAACTCCGCTAAAAGTATATAGACGTGCTACAGGAAACGTGCAACGAATATTTCTGAGAATCACTTTTTGTGCACATTTAAATTTTTCTTTAATATACGAAAACTGTTTTAAAACTTTTTTGAGTAAAGTGAAATGTAGGTGCCCTTTTTATTTTTAAAGACTAGGGTACTGTTGGTGTAATTTACACCAGGGAAGATACTGTTCAGTTTCCATATTGTCATGTACAGGTTTTGCAATCCTATTTGAAGAATTTCTCTGAGAAAAGGTTACTCGCTGGCCTATTGCCATTTACTTACTCAACAATAATCTGGCAAAGGGAAATGAAATATTTGAAAGCAAAATATTAAAAATCTAGCAGTTTTTAGTTCACAAACTAATTCAATATTGAGGTTTAGCCCTTTGTATTACAGCTTTGATCATGGATATGAACATTCATATTATGCATAAAACAAAACCTATAAGGCTGATTGAAAAGCAAAAATGCATTTTCAAGGTTTTCAGTAAATTTTTCTGTAATATGATCCCTTTAAGATTTTATAGAAATGTCGTATGGACTGTCGAGAAATAATATCGGTATTTATTACTTTTAGGCCGCACAACACGAAAACCCACCTCGTCTAACGATGCAGGTGAAGCGTTGCAGGCGTCAATGTTTGAATTTCCCGCAGCAACAGAAACTGTGTAGCCACTGTTGATCATCTTCCTTACAATATAGTTCATGTACCAACTATACCCTCCGCCAAGGGACATTGATACCACGCCCTTGCCGTTGCCGGTACCAAACTTGTCGACGATGGCATCCAAACCTTAGGAGGAAAAAGAAACATGGAAAATATCATTTATGAAGGAGGCAGGATGACTATTTAAGAAAAGCGTCGTATTCATGTCGTTAGACAAGGACACGGCCATTGTTATCGAGTGCAGGAGAGAGATGCGTTTACTCTTTTGGAAACTTTTGCTAGTACCAAGCCCCTCAAGATATATTAAGGGAACAAGTTTTTAAGTGATTGAGTCCATTTGGGCGTTCTGTTTTCTCACACATGTGCGGGAAGAGGCGTGAATCCCTGTGGATTGGGAAGCTATACATTTTCACCAACGTTTGTCATTTGATCCACCCACCAGGTTTTTGTCCTATATGTCAAAAGAAGATGGGCTTCGGAAATAAACAACAACAACAACAACAACAAAAATAATTGGATCAATTGCGACTCTTCTGTTTTTCATCTAAAGTTAAGAATGCAAGATGCCACGAATGGTTGTATGACAGCAAACATATACATGTACCAGTACTCGTTTTTTGTCCATTGCTTACCACCGTTTCTCGATTGTTTCCCCTTTCACAAAGTGTACAGAGTTTCTTTGTGTTGTTTCAGTAACGGGACAAGAGTATTTAGCGAGACAAACAACGTTCATAAATAATACCTGTGAGATAATTAATAAACCTATTCTGGGATGAAGTGATTGCCAAACACACCTGAGGAAATGAGGGAATTCGTGCATTGTCCTAGACTGTTGCACACTTTGGAGCTGTAGATGGTAGCTTTACGTGCGATACCGTAGGTGTTTCCTCCAGCAGTACCAGCGCAGTGAGTTCCATGTCCTTGATCATCAGCAGCCCCGTACAGAAGGGAAGCTCGTCCGCCAAACGCTTCGTGATTGGTGTTGATGCCAGTATCCACGACAAATAATTTCACGTTTTCACCCTGAGCTGCACACAAAAGGACATTTTTCCCAAATGTATATTGTGAAGACGCTTTTATAATTTATCGATTTTGTTATCCACTACAACGATAGAGCCATTGAATAAGTTATTACTGTTTGCAAAATACGTTGAAAAAGTAGCAAAATCGTTGGTGAATTATTGTTATTCTTGAATACTAAAATTAGACGGAGAGGCCTTTACCTTTTCAATGCATTACTGCCTAGAACTCAATTAAAGTAATGATCACGTTATACCAAAATAACCTACCGTTGCTGTTGTAGTTGTACACACCATCGGTTCCACTACGACTGTCGATGCGATCCAAACCCCATGGTGCGCCACTTTGGGAGCCGAAAATGGTTGCAATGGTGTCCTCATAAACGTCTTCAACACCCTCAATAGCACGAACCTAAATAAACGAGAATAACTGTTCATGTTTAAAACAACACAATGACAAATAAATATCAGCGATAATTACAAAGACAACTACATAACTATAATGCACATCACAATGAAGGCTTCTCTGCATATCTAAAGATTCGTTCATACGCAGCTCGAATATTTGATCTGACGTCACAACTTCGAGTCTGTGTTCGTTGGCGCGTGAAGTAAGAACTGGCCTTTAGTTTCGCGAGAAACGTACATGCTAGACATGCACGTGTGCTATAGAACACATATAGAGAGAAAAGAAATTGCATGCGACTATGGGAAAAATGAAAATTTCATCCTAAAGTCATTCTATGATTTTTAAAAAGTTATTCACTTGAATTTTATACCATATTGCATGATAAGACCCCATGATAAACCTGTCAACTTACCTGGGTAAGGATGTGCACTGGGATCTTAAGGGTCAAAACGGGCATGAGTTTTTTGAGCTTGTCGATTCTGGGAGCAGGTGCACGGAATTTAGAGAAGATGTCCTCGATCTCTTCTTGAACACGCTCCAGCTGGTCAAAATCCTAAAAAAAAAGTTCGATGCTGTATTCATATAGCCAAAATTGCCACTAAAAATAACTTTTTGAATAGATGCATAAGAGGACCTTTCGATTTACAACGCCAAAAGAACTGCGAGTGAAACTAGTCTGATACTTTCTTCACCAACTTACTTTGACTTTTATGATCCAGCTGTCTGGTACGGCGCGCTGGTTGGTCCTATGGAGTGGAGCCAGGCTAGCATGAGCCAGAGCAACACACAGACACAGCAGAAGAAGCTTCATGGTCGGTTGGAGGATTGGGCTGCACACTTTCAAGAGTCTTCGGCAGTGCAACTTTGAAGTGATTCCTCAACTGATTTTTCAGCGTATTTATAAGTTTTCTAACCTTTCATAAAATACGTGGATCTGATAAAACAGACTGTTATCATTCAAGTATTTGCTACTGAGAGAAAATGGCCAAAACAAGTTACGGAAGCAGCACAGATATTCAGATAATAGCGGTTGATAATTTTTTTTTTTTCTGCCCAGCAAATGTTTCCACAACCAAAAATTTCCCACTTAAAAACTTTTTAATAGGGGTAAAAAAAATTGGTTAAATAGAACTCTCATACTGATCAAATTAATGGTAAGGACTGATGCTAATGAAGGGCTTGAGAATTATTTTAAGAAGATCGAGGATAGGCTATAGAATGGTAAATAATTATTGGACTTTAGAAAATTCCGAAGGAAATAAAGGTACCAACATCACACAAGGTATCAGTAGAGATCGCTGCGCCTGATGTGTTAACCAATTTAAAGGTAGTGTACACATTGGTTTTTTTTTGTGCGCGCGCGATCGTGCTTCATAACCATTAACCAAATTTTCACGTCAGTTTACACGTCAATTAAAGTCTAAAAACTCCATTCTTACTTGACTAACCGATTATTATAAGCAAAGAAGAACTTATGTCTTTAAACGCAGGAGGTTTAACGAGTGAAAATCGTACTTTTTGTTGACGAAAATCCTTTCAGCGGGCAGCTCAGAAACAGCCGCCATATTTGGACCATATCATTATGCTCTAGTGGTAATTTTGAATTCGCAAACATTTTGTGTTAAGAAAAATCATTTCCTAAAATAAAATTTAACTTCACAGGGATCTAATTTAGTAATTACTTTACACCTTACACTCAGTTTCCTACAATTTAAGTTTAAGGATTTGGTGAATTTCTGTCGGTTTGTTTTTAGCTGCTTTTAGGTTTACCCGTTGATTAATTGAGAATCCAACATCTAAAAACACCACACACAAGAAAACTGGCGCCTGTTAAAGAATTTGATGTGCGAAGTGAATGAATTCTAATGAAAAATAAAACAAACTCTCTGTTTTCTCGAAAAAAAAAACCCACAGAATTCTGGGCGGAAATATTTTACAGACTGATTGCGGGTGTTGTGTACTTTCTTTCAAATAAGATATTTCAGGATTGTACCGTAGTCCGATTTGGGGTTTTACTAGTGTACACTACCTTTAAAGTAACAACACTGAAGCCATCTCTAAGCTGTTCCGGAAACATGATACTGTCCCTACTCGTTTGGTTTATCATGACAGAACATACACTAAGGAGGTCCGTTTAAACTATTACAGGATGCCAAGGTCAAGGAAGATAGGCAGATTAGAGTCAAAATGAATTAACGTGTTTTGGTCATACCACGGAGGCCAAAAATGCCACTTCTTTACACAATCATTACAGTTCTTTCTTACTGTATTTCGTCATAAAATCCTCAGAGACACCACGACCTGACACTCAGTGGAGCACGAGATGATCCAATCCTCAATCTGTACGCAAAAGTGATTGAAAATGTCAATTGGAAAGGAAAATATGCACTTTAAACCAACCTGACACTGGTATCTTGTGCATCCTTGAAGTAACTTTTTACTTTCATACTTTAAAAAAATTTTTATGCGTCTGGGCAAAAACAAGTGTATTGAAGCTTATTTCTTGTGCTTTCATGGCAATGGCGTAGTTGTGTGTGAGTGTCTAGGTTTGCAAAATAAAGGTTTTCCAGAAAAGATGCTGGTACTTTTAAAAAAAACCCAGCATCATTTCTCCGTCGGTTAATTCCCCCTCACGCCCCCAGATACACCATCTCGTAGTCCGTTGAAGAATTAAGTGGACTGTACCCTTTCAACAGTAAATGGAAGTTGTCAAATCGATCCCATGTGTTTTCTGAATTTCCTATCCCTGTTGAAAGTTCTTACTTCCTGAGAAAAATACAGGATGAGGAGATAAGATAAACTCCTATCGTAAGAGCATCCGTTGAGGAAATGAACAAAAAACAAATTTTGATAAGCCACTTCTTAAGCAAGTATATTGCGAGATAGGTGGCAGTGTATCTATTTTGCGGCACAACATCTGTTTTGAAAACCAGGATTTTCTCACGTTAGGTTTGTCATGTAAAAAGCTTTTAATAAGTCCCCGTATTGCAAAATCTGCCGTAATTGGAACACTGGATCTACCTTTTTATGAAAAATACGATTTTCAGTGCAAAAAACCTGTGGTATTATTGTATGTGACGTGCACACGGTTCGCGGGATGGTAAAAATAATAAAATAATCATTACAACATTTTCCTTAAGAAGATTCAAAATGGTACATGTTGACTGGAAAAGTATATTAAATACGATTACACATGTGTGAATTCTTCACCAAGGCCGACATTTTTCACCTTCCTCATTGGTTTGCTTATTCACACTGTCGCTTTGTACACTAAGTACACGACCGACAGTATATTGTGCCTCTGGTGCACATTAATTTTGCATCCCCTAAAGTGGGCGGCCATCCAGTATTGAGTAATTGCTGTTATCCACTTCATAAAATCAAACATTGTTAAGTCGCAAGTGTATTCGTGATAAAGCATTACCTTTCTTCCTCATTTCTGTTGGAGAGCCCAGATGCCTTTGGGGTCTTTGGGGTAATAGGCTGTTGTTTAAACATTAATCAACAAGGGACCTAAACAAACAGTGTTGGGGAGCGAACACGTCACTTGGCGAGACAAGTCTTTGCCGCAGTTTGTTTGAATCTGTACCTGAAACGTCCGTCCTTAATCCATTTCCATATTGTTCACAGACAATTGTATGTTCTAGGCTAAAAGCGAGCACGAAGGACAACTTGTTACTCAAAGTATTCCCGCTTCGACGTGGTCGCATATGGCCGCAAATATTTCGTACAAACACCTAGTGGTAATTTAGAAGTAGAAGAATGACGATAAAAACCCAATTTATTCTACAATCAAATTAGCCCAAGCGCAATAGTTTTTAAAAGGTTGCTAAGTCCGAATAAAATACGTTTTGTGATACCAAATCGAGCGCAAGGGGTGAAAAATCTCTCCTGCTTGTTGCCAAGTTTACAAATTATACATCATGCATAAGGAACTTGATGACGTCTACGCCACCAGTCATGTCTGAGTGTTTGCATGTGTACGCGTGACATGTACTTGTGGGTGCGCTTATGGGGCTTTATGGGGTACCGGAACAATGGGAAGTACCCTTCAAGGCCAGTTTTTCCTTGTGGGGTACAACTGAGTGCAAACTGAAGACCTTTTTTGAATCTGCTTACAACAAATAAAAACAAAACAAAACAAATATCTTTAAAAATGAAGCTATTTCTCTTTCGTGAAACTGAAAGTTCAGGTATGTGCAGCCTTTCTGAAGCTTGTATCCTTCAAGATCATTAACATACAGAGCAAAACGAGAAAGGCGACAAATTTTCACCTTGTCTTACTCCTACATTTGCCATGAAAAACAGAAGGCAGGCTCCACAAAGAAAATGTTGCGCACGCGCACAACAGTATTTTCCTTTGGAAACTGTGGTGCGCTGTTGTCTGCTTGAAAATGGTGTGCACATGTGTGCTTGTAATGAACATTGTCTCTATGGGGCATGATAAACAGACGTGAAAGGCCAATTTTGAGGACAGAGAGGATTACAATGAACACTGATTGCAGTGGTAACGGCTCCAGTAGCCAGGTACGCTGGCGATGAAGATTAAATCGGTATGGACAATTAACAAACAGAATCGAACAGGAGCCTGAAGTGCGTGGCGCTACCCTATACCGCTTAAAGTTCACTAGCGGGATCATGGGTTGAGCTGAGACGTCAATGCCATATAAGTAATTTTTGTCTCGGGTACTCCTCAGTTTCCAGACTTAAACAATTTTCAGACTTAATATGCTCAAAGAGACCCTACTTTGCGCGGGGAGTGGCCCAGTGAAGTGTAGACAAAAAAGCAATTGAGAAATAGGAAGTAGTATGACAGTAACTCATGTCTTCTTTTGAGAATATTTCAGCTGTGCCAGGCCACTCAAGATTGACAGCAGTAAATTCTGCTGGGTGCCCCGTTCTACTAAGCGTTCTTAGGGTAGGAACGATTTATTGAGCTGAATATAAATAAAACGCAACGTTTCGACATATTTTTGAACGTCACCCTTTTCAACGGTAAAAGCAAGATTCGATCCGTGCACAGACGTCCATTCCAGTGTAATTTTATTGATATTATATTAGAATTTTTGCCCGCATCATGAAAATACAGAGGTTTTATTTCTATTGCCATAAGAATATAGAAAATACATACAGATAAAACAAAACTTTATTCACCAAAAACAACACACACAAAAGACAAAAAATACGCTCATTTAAAATTACATATAGACTATAACAAATGTTACAGACGTCCTAAGTGTATAACGATGTTGTTAATTAAGCTGTAGCTGGCACATCTCTAAGCCATTAGCCCACTCCTCCTTTTCCTTGGAGGGAATTGGGTCATCCCATCCAATATTGTCTCCGCACAACAACTCCAAGATCTTCTTCGCCCGTAAGACAGAGGGTGAAGTAGCTCCAAACGGGTCGAATATGGAGCTCATCACTGATAAGATATTTCCTCGGGTGGGTTTCTGATTCACCTCATCCTGCTTGTGTTTTAGGCGATCGGTTTCGATACACTATTGTACACCAAGAGCTGGCACAACTGGCAGATTGTCGGTTTGAAGATCAATGTTATTCATTTCCTTGGCTAAGGAAAGTGTTGCCAGCGGTTTCCTGCTATTGCTGGTCCACTTTGTGAGCTCGAAGCCTCCTTCTGCTACTGCTCTCTTCATGTCACGTGCGAGGTTGATGCCGTCTTCAGCACTTGACACAGACTTTAGGAAGTAGTCCACATAGAAGTCACTCCGTATGGCGTCTATCACTTCTTTTCTGTACTTGTGTTCGTTGTCAGTGGCAGTCTTCTTGAGGGCATAGTTGGCGCAGCTT